AGCCCGTGGAGCCTGGCGGGGTCTGGGAAGCCCAAGGCTCAAAGGACTGGCCGGGGTAGGGGCGGCGGACCGGAGTGGGGTCCCTGGTGGGAGTCCTGCCTTGCCCTCTGGGCGGGGGGCGTGGTGAGCAGGTCCAGCCAGGGCCTCGGGTGGAGAAGGAACCGCAGGGTCTGGCCACGCCCCGGGCGGAAGGCTTGGCCTAGCAGCCCTAGCTGGCGCGGGTTAGTCCCCCGCAATGGCTAAGCCCGGGAAGCAGGTGCACTAGGGGCTCTGACATTAAGACTTGGTGGAGCAGGTGAGTGCACGAGTCTAGGTGCAAGGCCTGGATTGGAGGCTTCGAGGAGCAGGTCTTAGTGCTGGAGGGTGTGGAAAGCCCGAGCCTCCCTGTGGGGGCGCTTCCACTTGAAGCTGAGTTTACTTAACTGAGGCCGTAGGAAGGTAGGTTAGGTTTTGGAGTGTCTCAAAACTGAGTCCGACTCCATCTCTTCCCCCACCTACTGTCCCTACTGCATCTCTGCCTGGCAGCAATCCAAGTCCTGGGCACTGTCAAATGGTTCAACGTCCGAAATGGTTACGGATTCATCAACAGGTATCTGAGGAACCTAGGGAGGGGGAGGAAGGGGTGTCTTCCCGGCTGGCCTGTGGGAGTGGACACCTTCCCGACCTCATCTCCACCCCTGCCTGCCGAAGCACATGGTTGCAATGTCCAGCTGACGTTGATTGAAAGTCTTTAATCGTAACACAAATGTGGGCGAGATGAAGCTCCTCATCTTCAAGGGCAGCGGAGGGTTAATGATCTAGGAAGTTGGCAAACCTGCTCCGACCCTCCCAGCTTGTCTGTCTCACCTCCTGGTTTAGTTTGCCTCACCTTTGGGGCAGAATGTACCTGCTCTCTGTGCCCCGGGGCGCTGGGCCGCACTCACTTTCCTGTTTCGGGTGGCACACATAGCACTCTCATAACTCATCTTCCTTACAGGGTTGTTGGTTCATTTGAAACCCCCACCTGATGGGACTGAGGCTGGTGGGGGTTGGGGAAAGAGCCAGCCCAGCCAGAGGCTGCTGCTTTTCTTCTCTTTGGCAGCCTCTCTTCTCCCCGCACCCCCCACCCCCCCCCCCCCCCCTGCCCCGGGAGAGGCCCCAGGTTTTTTTTCACCCCACCCCCATGCACTGGGAGAGGCCCTAGTGGCAGATTCTGAGCAAAGCCAGGTCTCCCCCTGTGGGCCCTTCCCCAGCCTGGGCACCCTGCCCAGCCCAGCCCTCTTGGGAGGCCCTAGTTCCCTCTTAGCAGGCTGACCTTTGTGCAGATCCAAGTGCTTTACAGCTAGAATATTTGTTCTAGGGAAGGGCTCTTCTCTAATTCTGAAAACTGAGGACTCCTGGGAGGTTTGAAGGAACATCTCTCCCCTCCCCGCATTGGGGTGCTAGGATAAACTGGGGTAATAGGCAAGCCGTAATAGAGAATGACCGAATATTATCTTCTCTCTCACCCTTGGTCCCTTGGCGTGTTGAAAAGGGGCCTGACCTTGGGGTTCACCTCCTGGTTGAGGCTGAGAATGAAGTTTGGGGGCTGTTTAGAGCAAGTTCTTGACACACTGTCCCCATCTCAGACTTGTTCTGCACCTCTCCTCCTGCCTGCACTTTCTTGCTCCTTGACTGTAGAAGGAAGGAGACAGGAGTGGAATTTTCCAACCACGATGGGGGGTGGGGATGAGGGGGTGTTGACAGGGGCAGTTATACCCAGCGCTACCAGGTTCTAAGCGGTAGAGGGTGGAGTGCTCAGCTCCCGCAAAGTGAATTTCCTTTCCTCCTCCACCCTTTCTTCATGAAGCCCAGGTTTTCCACTGAGGGATAGGTATACTTCTCTTCCTACCTCCAATCAGCCACGGAAGGCTAGGGGGTGGGCCTGCGGATTTTAGGGATGGGCAGCTAGGGCGTCCCCGGGGGAGGTGAGCACCTCACCAAAGCCCTCCCCTAACAGCCATCCTGTCCTGCAGGAATGACACCAAGGAAGATGTCTTTGTTCACCAGGTAAGAGCTAGGCTGGCTTTCTGAGGGAAGGAACCTGCCCTCTCTTGGAAGGCTGTTGTCATAATCCTGAGCAGCACAGATATGCTTCTGCAGCTTTTACCTCCCAACAGCATGTCCACCAGGAAGTGGTTTCCCTCCCATCTGCATCAGGTGCCCAAATTAACTGCCATTGATCCCACTTGTGTTGGGTTGTCCGTCAGAAATGTATGCGCTGCCCTCTGCGCATGGCATGCGCAGTACCTACTGTGACCTGTTAACACCACAGGAATGAATCACAGGCGATGTCCGGAGGGAAAGGACACAGGCTAGTGGTTCTCAAAGTGCGGTCCCTGCACCAGCAGCATCACCTGACATCCAAATTCTCAGGCCCCACCCCAGACCTACTGAATCAGACTTGGGGGAGAGGCGGCAATCTTTTAACGAGCGCTCCAGGTGATTCTGATGCCCGCCACAGTTTGAGAACCACTGCTTTGGTGGAAAGAGCTCTCAGTGGGATCGAGGTAAGAAGCACAGTACATTTTACCCACTTTGCAACTTAAGACTGTCTCCGCTTTTTGTTTCGATTCTTTTTGTTTTGAGTTCATGAGAAACATCGATCAGCTGCCTCCTGCACACCCCCTACTGGGGATGTGCCCGCAACCAAGGTACATGCCCTTGACCGGAATCGAACCCGGGACCCTTCAGTCCGCAGGCCGACGCTCTATCCACTGAGCCAAACCGGTTAGGGCAAAGCACAGTACATTTTACCCACTTTGCAACTTAAGACTGTCTCCGCTTTTTGTTTCGATTCTTTTTGTTTTGAGTTCATGTTTCTTGCCTCCCTTTTTTAAGTCCCTGAGGGGTAGAGGAGGAGGGAGTGTGTCCTAGGGATGGTGGTAACTGCACAATTGTTCTTGAGGCCCCTAGTTTATGGCTCTTCCCCTACTAAACTCTGACTACCTTCTCCTTGCTCCACCCTCCAGCCCCAGCCCACAAGTGAAATGCTGAAAGGAGTAAAAGTGGGTGGTGGGCCCAGCAGGGGAGAGAGAGACTGGTCCTCACCTTTCTCATGGCCTTTCCCCTAACCAGACAGCGATTAAAAGAAACAACCCCAGGAAGTTCCTGCGCAGCGTTGGAGACGGGGAGACTGTGGAGTTTGATGTCGTGGAAGGAGAGAAGGTTTGGGGGCCGTGGCGGGACACCGAGTGGGAGGTGGCCTGGGTGTCATCCCAGGCGCTGCCCCTCTTCCTCTGGCGCGTTAGCCCAGACTGTGTTCTCACACAGACTGTAATCTTTAACACTTTGGCTGCTTTAAGAGACATCCTAAAGAACATGTCCCTTTTATCACTATTTCATATCTGGGTTTCTTTGTACTTCAAGCATTTCTATGTCTGTTCACACGGGGCCCTTCGCAGGCTCTCAGAGTCAGTCAGCTCTCCAGTAAGATGACAGTCGCCAGGCCTTTGCACCCACACCCCTCGCCCTCCAGGCTTAAAATCAAGAGGGTTCAGTAGCAGCTATTTCAAAAGGACAAGTTGCAGAGGTGGCCCCTCCTAGAAGGGTCCAAACATGCCATTGCCCCCCCCCCGAGGGAGGGTGGACAGAAGTTAGAGGGGCTGAAGAAAGCTGGAGAGGGGATTTAGCTGGAAGAAGGGGGAGACAAATGATTCGAGCCATTTTGGGAATGTTGTGCATTTGTTGTTGGAGCAAGTTCTCCCCACCTCTTTTCCAGGGTGCAGAAGCTGCTAATGTAACTGGGCCTGGGGGGGTGCCAGTGAAGGGTAGCCGCTATGCCCCCAATCGACGTAGGTTCCGCCGATTTATCCCCCGGCCTCGCCCGGCTGCCCCACCACCCATGGTGGCAGAGGCTCCATCAGGTGGGACAGAAGCATGCATCGAAGGGGAACGAGCTGAAGACCCTGGGCAGAGGCCCAGACGACGGCGCCCACCGCCCTTCTTCTACCGACGGCGCTTTGTGCGAGGCCCAAGGCCCCCCAACCAGCAGCAGCCTATAGAGGTGAGGGGAACTCGGGATGTGGAACCAGCTTCCCAAGTCCTAGGAAAGGAGTGGAAGTTGGTGAAGAGAGAGCCAGAGTCCCCAGAGGATGGAACCCAGGGCTGGGAAGAGCTGTGGACACCTGGCTCCCAGGCAGCTGCTTTACCCCGCTCAGCAGGGCCTCTCTGTGTTCCCAGGGCACTGATGGGGTTGACCCTAAAGAGACAGCCCCATTGGAGGGGGACCAACAGCAGGGAGATGAGCGGGTTCCCCCACCCAGATTCCGGCCCAGATACCGAAGGTAAGACTCACTTTCCAGGGTCCTATCTTACCCTTCACTGTCCAGTATCGGATGGGGGTGGTGGGTGTAGGGGTATAGGAAGGGTCGGGAGGATGGGAAGGGGAAGAGCAAAGTTCTCAGACAAGCCTGAAGCTGGCGGTTTGGGGTGGGGGTTAGGGCGGGGGTGGGGTTGCCGGGACTGGATAGCGAGAGATTAATGCATAGGTGCCATGGGGAAGCAACTCCTAGGGCTAAAAAGGCTGGCTCCTGGGGTGGGGATGGGGATGGGAAGCTGGCTGGTCCACCTCTCCTGGGGGCGTGCTGAGAGGGAAGGAGGCAGTCCGCACTGGGCCCCTCCACGCCCTTTAGGGTCCCCACTTTCCTCCCCAGGCCTTTCCGCCCCAGGCCACCCCAGCAGCCTACCACAGAAGGTGGGGATGGCAAGACCAAGCCCAGCCAAGGTCCCACTGATGGTTCCCGGCCTGAGCCCCAGCGCCCACGAAACCGCCCCTACTTCCAGCGGCGACGGCAGCAGCCCCCTGGACCCAGGCAGCCCACAGCCCAGGAGGTGAGGACCTTGGGCTGTCTTCCCCTTTCCCTTCCCCCCTCTCCTTTTTATTTTCCCCTTCCCAGGTCACTCTATCCTCCTATTCCCCCATCCCCTGGCCCTGCCCCCACCCCTTCCATTCAGCCTGACACCAGAGCCAGTACTGCTGGGCCCACCTCGGGCAGGCACCCCGCCCACCAGGAAACCCCAGCAGAGGCAGTCCAGCCGTGTCAGCCCCTGCAGGCACCCCTTTCAGCTCTGCTTGGTGCAGCAGCACCAGCTATGGATGTGAATTCGAGGAGGAATGGGAAGGGGTTATAGGAATGGGACGAGAAAAGATGGGAGAAGATCGAAGTTGGGGGGCCCTAACGAACAAGAAGGTCTCAACTGACCACCCTTCTCTCTAGACCTCAGCCCCCATCAACAGTGGGGACCCCACCACCACCATCCTGGAGTGATTCCAACTCAAGGACACCCAGAACTACCATCTGGTGAGTGGCTGCGCAGAGAGGGCCCAGGGTGGGGAGCCAAGGGGGCGGGGACTGGGTCCTGAGAAGTTACTAGTCATGACTTGTCCATTTCTTTTTCTCTCTCAGGTATCTGCCAGGTTTTCCAACTGACCTGCACCCTACCCAGCACCCCCTCCCCCTTTCCCATATTCATGACATCAAAACACTGGCTTTTCCCCCTTTTCCATGAGACTCAGGAGGGCCAAAGCAACAGCTTTTTGCTTTTTTTTCTCTCTCCCCTACCAAGGGTTGAAGGAAGGGATCCATCCTTTTTGTTCAGAGGCATCAACTCCCTCCCCTAAATCAGGCTGAGAAGGAACCAGCCAGCTCTTACCTCCTCCTGGTTGTTTTTCTTTCCCACCCCAGTTTATTTTTTGTTTCCCCTCGACCCCCTACCTCTGAAGCCATTTTATGAACTGTCATGTGCCACCTGAGCCTCCAGTAAAAACAAAAACAGGCTTTCTTGTTGTCTTGGTCTCTGCCTCTTTTCTGTTCGGAGAATTGCTGGTAACTTGCGGGTGAAGGTGGGGAGGAGGTTGTGGGGCAGGGGGCAGGGCCTGGTCATGAATCGCTGTTCCCATGTTTCTAGCTGTGGAGCTCTGAACAAGCACTTTCATACCTGTGAGAGCCACTTTTCCCATCTGTAAAATGGGGATAATATTTCCCTTGCAGAATAAGTGTTTTGTGAAGTGCTGAGAGCGCAGTCTGACACTTCCAGCTACAACTTACTAATTTACTATTAATTAAAGCAATGACTAGAAATATAAGTGGGGGCATGAGTGACAGCATCCAGCGGATTCTTCAGCCCGGAGCTGAGGGGTGGGGTGGGATAGAGAGGAAGAGGGGAAAGGGGAAGTTGTGGTCCATCCCTGTCTGAGCCCATCCCTGAGTGCCTCCACAACAGGACGCTTGTCTCATACAGTGACTTTATATACGTATCTATATATTTACATTTAATACAACAGACTTTTGGTTTCTTCTCCCTGCCCCTTCTTTTTCAAGCATATACAAAAATATCCGAGGATTCCTCCCAGCCTAATGTTACAGGCAGCCTTTCAAATGTCCCTTAGTTGGTCAAAAGCCTTTGGGTTCAACACCTTCCAGAATGGGAGAGGAAGAAAGAGCTGGGCCTCTGGGAGCAGAGCCCTGCGTTTAGAGGCGAGAGCTTGCTATCCCTTCCCCTCACATATGGGCAGGTGTTCCCTCTCGCCCTGGAAGGTTGAGCAAGAGGACTGAGCCTTCAGTGAGAGAAGTGAGGTTAGACCTTGGGAGGGTGCATCCTTCGCCTTGGAGGGGTCAAGACAGAGCCCTCTTCACCCAGAGTCTATGTGACAAGAATTCAGAGAGAGTGCCAGAGTGGGAGGAGTCCAAGGTGGTAGGAAACTGGATTTCCCTTGTCCACTCCTGCTCTGTACTTCAGTTCACCTCCCCTAAAGTCAGTCCTAGAGCCTCTCCTCCAATCCTCCTCTCTAGCAGAGGGGCAAAGTATTCTGGAGCTGAGGCGGGTTGGGGTGAACTATGGAGGAAGGAGGAGGGGGACAAGGGGGGAGAATGGCCCACCCTGGTGGCCACAGCCTAACCACAACACATAAATAATCCAAGAAAGTCACACGAGGGAAATGAGGGGGTCTCGGACCACCCCTCCCTCCAGCTTCCCAATTCCACCAGGCAGCAGGGGCTTCCTCCACCCTGGGAGTGCTGGGGAAGAGAGGGTTAAAGTGCCACGGAGGAAAGGAGGGGTCTCTGGGGACACAGAGAGGACTGGCTCTCCCACCCCTGCCTGGTCCCTCAGTCATTCTCATCTGGCCCTAAGTACTCAAGTTCCGTGCTGGGCTTCACCTCCTGCTCTAAAAGAGAGGGTGTCCGATGGAAGGCAGCTGAGATCTGGTCAAACGTCCGGCCTCGGGTTTCAGGCACTTTTAAGAAGGTGAAGATGAAGAAGCCGAGCAGGAGGACCGCAAATAGAAGGAAGACGTAAGGACCCATAGCATCCTGGGACAGGCAGAGAAAGAGGTGTTGACAGAGGGGAGGGGAGGGGAGGGGAGGGGCAGTCTCAGGCAAGCTAGGAACTAAAGTCTCTCCTAGGGAGCAGGGATACTGCAGGTAGCAGGTGGCTCCTTTGCAGGGTAATGGAAATAGCCAGGAATGAGAATTTAGTGAAAAAAGGATCCTCTGAACCCCAACTCTCCTACAGTTTTTCACCCTCTTACCATCCTGAGTTACTGTACTGAGAGTGGATCCCAGACATTCACAGTATTAATAATGAAGTTTATCATTTTATTCCTAGTCTAAATAAGTTATGCCGCTAGTTGGTTTTGAAGACACCTCTATTGCTATGCAATCTAGTTCAGCTCCCTTCTATCCTTTGATGCAGGTGGGGCAGGTGTCTTCAGGGTCCACCAAAGTGATCTTCAGGACCAGTCGTCTGTGAGCTGAGGGAGTGCCTGACGGGAAGTGAATGGGCTGAGAGTCCCCGCCCTCCCCTCCGGCCTATGGTGGGAGACTGGATGGGAGCGGGCCACCTACCGCAACATACTGGAAACCCATGCCAATGAGGAAGTTGCACGTCCAGTTGGAGAAACCAGCCAAAGCCATGGCTGCTGGGCGAGGTCCCTGGCTGAAGAGCTCGGCCACAATGAACCAGGGGATGGGGCCAGGGCCAATCTCAAAGAATGCCACAAAGCCGAAGATGGCCACGATGGAGACATAGCTCATGGCTGGAATGCGCTCCTGGGGACCAGGCAGGGAGGGTGGGAATTCAGGTCAGGTCTTTCTGGATCTTCCTTTGCCCTCAACCCAGAGAACTAAAATCAACCCCTCTCAGCAGCTCGTGGGGGACGGGGGTCTGCCACCCTAGGTTAAAGCAGACCCCTGAGCATCTCTAAACACTGACATTCAGCTGGTTTCCCTAGGCCAATTCAAGGCCGAGGGAATGGTATGGACTCTCAGCTATTAAGCTGATCAATTCCCCTTGGTTCTAAAGTTGGGTCCTTAGGAATTACTGTTCCCACGGCCGGACAGGGGCTCTCCCTCCTGGCTGCCAGAATTGTGCTACAGCTTCCGCCCAGAGTGGGAGGAAGTGCAACCTGGGCCTCTAGGGAGCACAGACCATGATCCCAGCACACAGGCCAGCTCCAGGATCAAAACACATATGTTGAGGAGTGGCCCTGGCTGGACACAGCCTCTTGGAGCAGTCCCCGTGGGTTTGAGCCACTGGTCCCCTTCCCACTTCCCAGGCCTCACCAGCAGAAGCAGAGCCACAGTCATCAAGATGGCGCAGCCACACATTCCTGCCAGGCCTAGAAGATGGAGAGTCCGGCGCCCAGCCCGCTCCACCAAGAGCACCTGCAGGGAGAGTCAGGGCCTTCAGGATGGGAAGTGGATGGAGACAACCAAGGGGTGCGAAGCCAAGGGTGGTGGCCACCCCAGAGGCCCGCAGTTACCGAGATCAAGGTGAAGACTGTGTTGACCACTCCAGCTCCTATGGTGGCGTATGCTGGTTGCCCTACCCCCGCCGTCTCAAAAATGCTGGTTGAATAGTAGAAAACCTAGACGTGGGGGAGGAAAAAAGGGGGATGGCAGGGATGTTCCTTCCTTCCCTGTGGCCCACCAACCTGGACTGACCCCGAGTTTTAAGGGAGGGGGCTTGTTCCCTCTCCCCTCCTCTCCGGCTGCTCCCTGACCCTGCCCTTCCTGGAGGCTGCTGCATACGTACGGCATTGATGCCGGAAAGCTGCTGGCTCAGCTGCAGCACAATTGCAATGATTAGGGGCTGCCGGTGGGTTCGGCTGCCCAGGAGCTGCAGCAGGGACAGTGGCTGCTCGCGCTCCAGCTTCCGCTTCTCCTCCTTCAGCTCAGCCAGTGCTCCAGACACATCGGCCCAGCCTGTCAGGCGCTTCAGACCTGGAAGCGAGGAGGGTCAGGACTGAGAGGACAGGGAGAGGCTCAGGGGCGGGAACAGGCACTAGCAAGTGGGGTGGAGGCTCACTCCTTTTGGCGGGCCCCTCCAGGTTCCGGATGATGTAGAGGTAGCGGGGGCTTTCTGGGCAGAAGGGCAGCAGGACCAGCTGCAGAAGGGCAGGCAGCACTGTGATGCCCAGGAGTAGTGGCCACAGGGTGGCAGTGCCCAGCATGGACTCCAAGCCCAGCACCTGTGGGGGAAGGATGATGGCAGATCATTCAGCCTGTGCCCCAGAGCCCCTCCCCAGACCTCTCCCCACCCCCATGTGAGGGCAGGCCCAATCACCTGGGCAATCAGAATGCCAATGACGATAGCCAGTTGGTTGAGGGTCCCCAAGGCGCCCCGCAGGTGAGTGGGAGCGATCTCCCCCACATACATGGGCACCAACCCCGATGTCAGCCCTGGGCAGAGTGAAGAAGAGGGGGCTGAGGCAGCTGGCTGCCCACTCCTTCCCACCAAACCCGGGGATAGTAAAGGAGAGCAGGGCACTGGGCGGGGCCATGGTGCCCTTGGGTACCTGAGTAGGCACCAATGAGGAACCGTCCAAGGATGAGCATCTCATAGGAGGCAGCAGCGTTGGCCAGGCCCATGAGGGCGCCCCCCAGCACTGCCAGGGCGTTGTTGACCAGCATTGCCCTCTTCCTGGCAGGCAGAGAGTGGGCTGTGAGAGTTAGGGTGCCTGTACAACAGCCCCCTTCCTGTTCCCTACCCTTGTCCTTCAGCCCCGTACCTTCCCAGCCACTGAGAGATGACGCCAAGGAGAAAGGAGGAGACCATGCCGCCCACAGAAAAGATGGCCACGGAGAGAGCCCAGAGGGTGGTGAGGGTGCTGGGGGGGATGGAGCCAGGTCCCCCAGGCCCCTGCCTCCCCAGCCATGTCTCATTGTAGCTCTGTTCAATCACCTGAGGAGACAGCAGAGGAGTGAGTTCCTGCAGACCCGTCCCTCTCTGCTCATCCCTGCGGTCCCCTGCCTTCCTTGTTTGGGCACCCCCCGCTCTGCCAGCCGCAGGAGCCTCACCTTCTGGGGGGCATTGATGACCCCGATGTTGTAGCCAAACTGCAAGGAGCCAAGCACCGCAGAGAACACGGCGAGGACCAGGGTCCAAGTGACGCGCTGCTGAGGGGGTTCTCCTTCCTGGGCAGGCAGAGCGGAGAGGAGGCATGTCACCCGGAAACGCGGTTTCGTTCCTTCTTCCAGGGGCCTGGGCCTGCGCCCAGCCAGAGCCTATGCTACTGGGTTCCATCCAGCACGTTGGGTGAGGGAAACTGGGCCATATTAGGACTTGCGGGAAGACCTCAGCATAAACAGGAGCAGGAAGAACCCCACAGGAACCAGGGCGTGGAGGAGACACTGGGTGTTTGCGTCCAGCCAGCAGAGCCATGTTTGAGGACCTAGGTCTCACCATTCCTGTGACCTTGGGACAGGTTTGGCCTTGAGAGACCTGAGCTCAGGTTGGTGTGACCTTGGACAAGTCACTTCCCCCCTGAACATAGCTTTCCTCTGGGGGAGGAGGAAAGGGGGGCTGTGGCTTGCTTTGCCTACAATGAACGTGTGAAAATCAAAATAAAATGTTAACGGCATCCTGGACAGCGCCGGTTTCGTAAACGGACATTTATAAATGTGAATTTCCATGGGCCTCTCGGTCCTCCTCCCTCCCCCCTGGGGGTTCTCTCGGCGGCTCCGGGAGGCCCCCAACAGGCTCCAGAAGAGTGATTCCAGAAAGGACATCGCGGTCACTGCTCCCTGCCCGTGGCCCTGGTGGTGGCCTTCTCTAGGTTCGCCCGCCTCCCTCCCCCTAAGCCCCGTCGAAGGGCAGGGGGCCATGCGGAGCTTCTGCGTGGAAGAGCCGTGCCCAGGGGATGGGGCGGGAAAGTGGCGCGAGGGGCGGTGGCGGTCGCTCACTGGCGGCACAGACTGTCTCCGAGCAGAAACCTGAGCTGGGGGGGGGGGGGGCCCTTCCCCTCCGCCAACCCCGGGGCCCAGGGAAAGTTCAGCGTTCTGGAGAACCACCAGGAGTGGGGGCGGGGGCCAGCACGGGCCTCGGGCCCCGAAACGCTTCCCAGGAGCCGGGACGAAGCTCCTGGAATTCAAGGCCCGCCCGGATCTGCTTTCTCAAGCTGGATCGAGGGCAGAGTGTCCCCGATTCTGGCGCAATTCGCCGAGCGCTGGAGAAGGGGGCAGCCCTGGCCTCACACAGTCCGGCCGTGGCCCGTGGCCCGTGGCCCTGACCAGCCCCCCAGGCCCCCTCAGCTCCGGGAGGGACTGGAATCCGACCGTCACGGGTTGTCCCGTCCCGAGTATAAATAGCCAGGCTGCCACCCCCCACCCCTGCGCCTGC